TCCACTTTCTGGCAGCTTGCTTCCCTCGGTGTGAACTATTTTTATTTTTATTTATTTTGAGCCTATTTTTTCCTCTTAAGTCTGAGTACTCACTGTTCCTTTGTATCCATTAATGAAATGCACATTCTCCAGCACTGGTGGATTATCCATCTCCAGTGCTGGAGAATGTGCATTTCACCACAAATCCTGCGCTCGCTCAGATGGTGGATCTCTCCCGCCATGGCCAGAGATGGATAATCCACCAATGGGTTAACTTAATCCTCCTGCCCAATCAGATCAAGTCAGCCAAACTTGCCACACCTGTCCTGGGCCTGTTTTCCCCAGTCTCGACTTGATCTTGCCCAGGACAGACGTGCATGTTTGGCTCACAGGCAGGTAGATCTTAGTCTATTGGTGGATTATCCATTAATCTTCTAATAACTTTTAAGAACTTCCAATAACTTCTAGCCCTCTGAGTAGCACTGGGACCAGCGCTCCTCTAGAGGACTCTACCCTCATCTGATCCCCATTGGGATTCAGCAACAAACGGAGGATTCCATTTCTCCCTTCCCTTTATAGCAGGGCTTTTCAACCAGTGGTACGGGTACCACCTGTGGTTCATTGGCACCTGGCAGATGGTACGCGACCATCCTAGAAAAGTGGTAGTGGGGGAGGGGAATGAGCTGAACTGGTGGCAGCACTGCACAAGCCTGAGCGAGAGATGGCTGGAGCTGCAGGGCTGTCAGGGCTCAGCGGAAGTGCCAGGATCAGCGCCATGCTCCTGGTGCTTTTGCTGAGCCCAGAAGAAGCACCGATCAGCTGGAATGTTGCAGCATCTCGAGGGTCTTGTGATTTACATTCAGATGCTTGGCAACTGATTCATATTTATGACGGTCACAGTGTCCCAGGGTCGTGTGAAGTGACCAAAACCTGCTGCAACCACCCAGTAGACGGGGGAAATAAAAACCAAACAACCCCCCCCACCCCATCCCCGCTGCCAATCCTCAACAGAAATGCTCACAACAATGAAAACCTCGGACAGGAGGAAGAGCGCCGCCAGGCGGGCAGGCAGGTGTCTTGCTCGGCTGTGCCTTGGGGGGCACTTTTTTCAGTGCCATTGTAACTTCGAACAGTCACTAAGCGAACTGTTGTAAGTCGAGGACTACCTGTACTTTATCACTTTTTTCCTTTTTTTTTTTTTTGGTCATCAAGTTTTTGACACCTTGCTAGGCGACTGGTGGTACTCGGATGTTGCCATATCCTAAAAGTGGTACAATGGGTGAAAAGGTTGAAAAGCCCTGCTTTATAGCACAGCGCTGGGCTCAGCGCTGTTGCAAATTCCCCCCCATTCCCCCCAGCTCACCTCGGCTTCGGAGCTTGCGGCTGCAGCTCCGACGGCCCTACAGCGTTCGGATCAGCCTCATGGAGGTTGCAGGGCCTCGTCTTGCAGATCATCGCACCAGAGGCTTCCAGCATTCCCGAAACGCCGCCGATCAGCTGGGGAGGCCGTTTCGCCCCTGTCGCTTTCTTAGAATCCCGCGTCCGGTTGGGTGAGCATTGCAGCCGTTCGGGACCGGAGGGGGTGAATGGAGTTTAGGACGCGGCAGCCATTTTGCAGACCGCGTGGTCATCCCCAGTCCTTGCCGGCTACAAGGGGAGGCGGGGGGTGGGGGTGGGGGAAGGGATTTCACCCAATCTCTGCATTCGCTAGTTTTCCTTTAAGGGGCATCTCCCCTTCATTGTCCATCAGCCCCTGGAAAAGATTTCATCTTAAGTAGAAGGCCCAGGCCTAGGCAGGAGCCCCACCGGTTACGGCCAACATCTTGGAACTTCGTCATCCTCCCAAGGCTGCCATTTTGGAGGCTCCTCGTGCTCCAGCCCAAGGCCCTTCTGAGGCCTTTTCTGATCAAGGCCCTTCCCAGGTTCCTTGTATCCAAAGATTGCCTGGGATCTCTCTCTTGTCATCCCTGGAAACTCCTCTTGTGGCATTTGTCCTTTTCCTCTTTCATTCCTAGCATAGGCCCAATTAATTTAATTGGGCCCTCTGGTGTCTCCAGTCCTGGTCACCACTTGGCTAGCTGATTAACACAGTAGTTCCCAGCCTCTGACTCTGTATTAGTTGCCATCCTTTTACATTGCTGGCCTGGCAACACAGCAAGCCTCACTAGTAGGCCGCAATCCACCCTCTGGGGGGAAATTATAGCGACTGCAAGTAGGACCGGTCTTTTGGATACCACTGGTTCGGTGACCGGGGGGGGGATAGGGCAGTCTTACCAGCCGTTGCCCTACACCTTTATTAGCCAATTGATCCTTTTTCCAGGGGTACCTTCTCATGCACCTGAAGTTTTTATACCAGCATGGAGGATAATATGGCCTCCCAATCCACAGACGCCTCCCCTCCTTCCTCCGTCCGGAAAAGGCACAGGTCCCCTAGCCAAGAGGCTGCTGGTAGGATCTCAGCCAAGGTCAAACCCAAGGCTGTCTCTGGGGGGAAAACCTCCAAATTGGCAGAAAAACGGGCCAGCAGGAGACACCAGGCATTGGAAAAAGAGTTTTCAAAGGCTCAAAAACAAGCCAGGGCCGAGACTGCTCAGACTGAGTCCACTTTTTTTGACTTGCCTCTCTTTCTCTCCTCTTCTGCCCAGGAAGTCTGGTCACCGGTAGAGCCTTCTACTTCCTCTGGTCAGCCCAGGCTGGAACCTGACGCACATACATTCAGGACCACCCCATGGGTCCAGCAGGCCCCAGAGGCCACCTTCACGCCCATGGCTGTGGGGCTCACAGGGGAGGAGTCCGCCCTTCCTCCCCTAGAGGATAGATTCCAAGTCCTGGTGACTCAGGCGGTGGAGAGGGCTCTCGCGGCCAGGTCTCCACTGGTAACCAGGGCGGACTCCTTGCTTTCCCTCCCTCTGTCTCGCCCAGCTCATCAGAGTTCTCATGATCCTCCCTCCCCCTCCCATTCCTCATATAGTGGGGTCTCATTAACCCCAGAGCAGGATCAGGCGCTTGATGCCTCGTGGTCGGAGGAGGAAGCGGCTCCGGATCCGCCTCCGTTCGGCGGTCTATTTAATCCATCTCTCTTTCTACCCCTACTTCGCAAGGCTAGTTCTGCAGCGCACGTGGGACCTGACCGGTCCGCTCCAGCGACAACTGCAATGGATTCAGAGGCGGACCCCGTTTTCGTTGAGCCGGTTGTCACGCAACACCATGTTCCCTGTCCACCATTATTCCTCAATGCAGTTAAGAAGCAATGGGCTTCCCCGGGCACCTTTCCTCTTCCAGGTGGGAACGATAAAAAGTTGTTTAGCATGGCCTCAGATTTAGCAGAGGCACTGGACGTGCCCACGGTGGATGAGCCCCTGTCCCACCTCTTCTCCCCTACCACTATTTCAGGGGATATGTCTGAGGCCTTAAAAACTGAGGAACTCAGATCAGAACTGGCATTTAGGAGGACACACCAGGCGGTGGCATGGTCTATTAGGGCTTCTACTTCAGCCTCGTTTTTCACTAGATCCACCCTCATCTAGCTTCATCAGCTCCAGGCCAGGATTCCCCGGACGATGTCTGCACACATCAGGACCTAAGCAAGTAAGTGGCCACGACAGAATATGCTTCCGATGCAACTCTACACGCTGCATGGTTTTTCTCCGGGTCCTTGGCTTCCAACGTGACAGCCCGTCGCATGCTATGGCTAAGACACTGGGAGGCAGACGCCAAGTCCAAGTGGCGTTTGGCAGTAGCCCCATACCAGGGTAGCAAATTATTTGGGGATGCTTTGGCCCTGTTTCTGACTGAGAATAAGGATAAAAAGAAAATTCTGGCCCACCTTACCAAACGGCCCAATAGGCGGACCAATCCTTATAACCGTAGACAGTTCTTTCGATCTGCCCCTACTCCTTCGACTACGCAACCTTCATGGCCCTTCACTCCCAGACAAGACCATCTGGTCGATAGACCGGCCTCAAGACCCAGGCAACAGTTTCAGTCCAAACGGCCTTTTCGAGGTGGGGAACGTCCATTCCGCAGGAAGTGACTCCCGAGTGGATCCTCCCATAGGGGGCAGGCTGTCCCTATTTGTCACTCAATGGGAGGTCACCACCACAGACGCCTGGGTCCTGGACACCATTTGACACGGTCTATCCCTAGAATTCACTGCCAGTCCACCAAGACGGTTCATTTCTTGCCCCCAATCAAAAAACTCACTAACTAAGGAAAGGTCTCATGCAGGAGGCCATCCGTCACTTATTAGACATAAGGGCCATAGAACCGGTACCTCCGGCTCAACGGGGTCGCAGATTTTACTCCATTCTCTTTGTGGTCCCCAAGACCTCGGGAGGATGGAAAGCAATCTTAGACCTAAAAGGCCTGAACTTTTATCTGGCATACCGAAGGTTCAAAATGCAAACACTTCAGTCCATCTTAGGCAGCATCCGAAAGGGGGACTTTCTAACATCCGTAGATCTCACAGAGGCATACTTACACATCCCTATCATTCCTGGCCACTGCCAGTTTCTCAGGTTCAGTTACATGGGACATCATTATCAATACAAGGCACTCCCGTTTGGGCTGTCGTCGGCCCCAAGGGTGTTTTCCAAGGTCCTGGAGGACCTAGCCGCACACCTGAGGTTGATACCGATTCGGGTGCAATGTTACCTGGATGACATCTTAATACAGTCGTCTTCTCCCCAGAAGGCTCAGTCAGACCTGAGACTGGTGATCGAGGTCCTGCAGAGCCACGGCTTTTCGGTCAATTTCAAGAAAAGTCAGACGATCCCATCGACCAAATTGCTCCACTTAGGAGCCATAATAGACACAATAGAATGTCGGGTTTATCTGTCCCAGGAACGCAGGGACAGCATACGGGACCTAGTTCTCAAGGTCTGCAGGGACAGGACTCTGTCACCCTCTGGTCTCTCCCGGCTTCTGGGAAAGATGATATTGTGCATCTCGATCGTTCCCTGGGCCAGGTTACACTCACGGACTCTCCAGTGGTTTCTGCTTCCCTACCAGAAGCAGGGTACCAGCACTTCCACTCGAGAGGTAAGGATTCCACCACAAATCCTGCGCTCGCTCAGATGGTGGATCTCTCCCGCCATGGCCAGAGATGGATAATCCACCAATGGGTTAACTTAATCCTCCTGCCCAATCAGATCAAGTCAGCCAAACTTGCCACGCCTGTCCTGGGCCTGTTTTCCCCAGTCTTGACGAGGGCGCAGCTACTGACTGACAGCATTATGTGTTGGCTCACAGAAACTAACCCTAAGCCTAAGGACCTAAATGGGTGGGTGTGGATTATCCATCTCCGTGCTAAGAAAAGGCGTTCAGGTAAGACAATGCCCTTTTTTTTTCTATTTTTACTGCTTTTTCTGCAGCTGCAGGAATTGTATCCAGGGCGGAAATAAAATGCTTGCTCATGTTATTTGTCCTACAACTGACACGGTGCATTGTGTTTGCATAAAAGGTTTGGGGCTGTAGTCTTAAATATTGGCTGTATTCTTAAATATTGTAACTTCAGACAGTCACTAAGCAAACTGTTCTAAGCCTAGGACTACCTGTACTTTATCACTTTTTTCCTTTTTTTTTTTTGGGTCAGGTTTTTGACACCTTGCTAGGCGACTGGTGGTACTCAGATATTGCCATATCCTAAAAGTGGTACAATGGGTGAAAAGGTTGAAAAGCCCGAGTGGCTGTGGTTCCCGGCGCCTCGTTTCAGCCAGTTTACTCCATCTTTGGCCATTGGGGGCGAAACACTGGCCCCGGTGGAAAGGGCACGCAACATGGGCGTCCTCCTGGATACCCGGCTGTCGTTAAACGATCATATGACGGCCGTGGCCAGGGGGGCTTTTTATCAGATACGTCTGATACGCCAGTTGCGCCCTTTCCTGGATCGTGACGCCTTGCGCACACTCACTCAGGCCCTCGTCATCTCACGCCTAGACTATTGCAACGCCCTCTACATGGGGCTCCCCTTGGGGAGNAAATTACAGACCTATCAGCCTGACCTCAATACCTGGGAAGATTCTGGAAAAGATAATCAAACAACGAATCAGCGAACACCTACAGGCAAACAAAGTCATTACTAAAAGCCAACACGGGTTTGTCAAAAACAGATCATGCCAGACAAATCTTATTGCATTCTTTGACCAAGTGACAAAATTAGTGGACCAGAGGAATGCTTGTGGATATAATTTACTTGGACTTCAGTAAGGCATTTGACAAAGTAGACCACAACCTACTACTTGAGAAGATAGAAAAATGCGGGTTAGACAGCATCACCACCAGATGGATCCATAGTTGGCTGACCGGCCGTACTCAGCGTGTGGTCCTCAATGGAACCACATCTACATGGAGGGAAGTGTGTAGTGGGGTGCCCAAGGGCTCTGTTCTGGGCCCAGTGCTCTTCAACATCTTAATCAACGATCTGGATGAGGGGATAGATGGGGAACTCATCAAATTTGCAGACGACACCAAGCTGGCAGGAATAGCCAACACTCCAGAAGACAGGCTTAGGATACAGGAGAATCTGGACAGACTTGAACACTGGGCGCTATCTAACAAAATGAAATTCAATGGTGAAAAAAGTAAGGTTCTACATTTAGGCAAGATAAACCAAATGTACAGATATAGTATAGGGGGTACCTTGCTCAATAGTAGTAACTTGAGAGGGATCTCGGAGTCCTAGTGGACAATCACCTAAATATGAGCCAGCAGTGTGCTGCAGCTTCCAAAAAGGCAAACACAGTGCTAGTCTGCATTAACAGAGAGATAGAATCAAGATCACGTGAAGTATTATACCACTTTACAATGCCTTGGGTAAGGCCACACTTGGAATACTGCATCCAGTTTTGGTCACGACGATGTAAAAAAGACGTTGAGACTCTAGAAAGAGTACAGAGAAGAGCAACAAAGATGATTAGGGGACTGGAGGCTAAAACATACAAGGAACGGTTGCTGGAATTGGGTACGTCTAGTTTAACGAAGAGAAGGACGAGGGGGGACATGATAGCAGTGTTCCAGTATCTCAGGGGCTGCCACAAAGAAGAGGGAGTCAAGCTATTTTCCAAAGCGCCTGAAGGCAGGACAAGAAGCAACGGGTGGAAACTAGCCAAAGAGAGAAGCAACCTAGAACTAAGGAGAAACTTCCTGACAGTTAGAACAATTAACCAGTGGAACAACCTGCCTCCAGAAGCAGAGAATGCGCCAAAACTGGAAGTTTTTAAGAAGAAACTGGACAGCCATTTATCCGAAATGGTATAGGGATTCCTGCCTGAGCATGTTCTGTCCCCCGTCCGACCCACACCCCCCAACCAGTCAGCCGAGGCCTGACAAACTACTCGGCACCGACGAAGGCAACGGAATGTCTTGGCAGCCACTTCGTAGCTGCCTGCCAAGTCTTTAATGATAAACCACAGCAAACAAAGATAAGCCACGAGAACTTGCCAGAATGCTTGCAACCGAGTGTTCATCAAACT